AGCAACGTTGTGGTTGTATTTCGCTTAGTACCCTGCCGCGAAATTATAGTAGGCAGAAAATAAAAAGGTATAACATTGTGGTTTTTTAAAAGACTTTTCATTAATCATCAATCACTGAGCAACTAGCGTGGACAGCTCTGAACTTTTCACAGGTCCGGTCCACTCACAGCAAATTCGACAGCATGGTACTTTTCGCATAAAGTTCTCTGCTACGCTGGCTTAGGTTAAAAACTTCTTGTAGTTATAAACTCTTCGAATCAATGCACATGATACAACGTGTTCGAAAAAGTGCCTTCACCATGGATGCTTGTGCGTAACGCCAATTATAAGTTAATCGACACTACGCGTAGTGCAGTGACAAATGGTTTCCTTGCAATACACATATGGCTTTTGGTTCAACACGTATCTCTGGCCAGCCAAATCATCTTTATAAGGTTGGAAAATTGATTATATGATTATAGACTGATTGATATATGAACAATGATTATAGACTTCCCTGAGAAAGGTCACATCAGCTGCATAAAGGCCGACATATGTTCGTGGCGAATGTCGACATTTAAAGACATTCATGAAGAAGAAGAGCCAAGATATTGAATAAAAGAAGTGATAAGATTAGCATAATATGCGAACTGAGGTTCATGGAAATTAGTAAGCAAGAGCTTATTGGAGTAGCTAGTGGTGCCACCCATCAGAAGGCGAGGCGCTGTTGCAGCCCATTCCCCCACGGTTCTCTTCTAATCCATATGAGAATGCCTTAACTCGGTTATCTCCAGGAATGTAAGAAGAATGGGCTCGAGCAGCGTTTAACGACATTCATAAAAGAAGACAAAATCTTCAAGCAGCAGCCGGAACAACACGTGATATGTTCGAAGACCTTATTAGAGGATCATTGCGAGGAAAACCAAATGAATGAAGGAAGTGCTGGGAACCGCACTTTAGATGTGATGACGGGTTATCTAGTAATGAGGTAAGAATAGCAATTTCGCGTTTGTATTTTGTTTTGAAATTATAAATCGAAATGGAAAGAAAGAGAAAAGCTTTGATGGAAACTGTTCCCCGTGGTCTGTGTTTTTGCTGTAATGTTTTTAAAAACATTATCTCTCTTTACACTCATCAATGAGCGCAAAGATATCGCTCATTTAGCCTTAAAAATGCTAACTATTCTTATAATCACGTGATTTGATTAGCTACAAACAAGCATAACATCCGGCTTTGATGGTTCCCATAAGGATACGTCACGCATCCGACTCTACTGAGCATCGCTTAGGTTGAATAGATATTTGCCCTATTTAGTAACTTGTGAAAGTCCAATAAAGCATTAATTTAGTGCTTCTGGCCTAGTAGACAAGTCTGGTACCAATTTCTCGATCCGCGAAGCACGGAGGGCTCGGTTTGCTCGGAATGCGGCGTCGACCGAGAGCGATGGGCGAGTGTCTTGCAACATGGTACTAACTGCTGTGCTACACTCACATTCGGAAGGAAAAAAATTTACCTGACGCTATATGTGCACTTAATGTTGAACACGCTTGTTTGTTTCTGGCAGTCTTCACCTCTCCACAGGAACCAATCGTTTCGTCGTTGGACGACACCCACGCTGATACCGACCACGCAGTTTTCAACGGGTTGGCTCTGACGAATACAAGAGTATAAAAACATCGAGTACAGTTCTTATATATAGTTTACATAGATTCGAATTCGCGATTACTTCTCCTGGGGGCTCACGTTTAACCCACTGTACCAACGAGACCCGAATACGTAAATCTACTCTGCACAGGAGTCCAAATTTGGCAAATATCCCAACATCACTGTGGTTGTATTTCGCATAATACTCTGCCACGAAAAACAATAGTAAATAGAATGGTATACATTGTGATCTTGGCGTCTCAACTTAAATGAGTTCAATGTCAATTTATTCTCCGCAAATCATTCTCGCCGACGGGTGATTGCTGATGGCACCGTTGGAGTGAAAAACGCGTTGAAAAGAAGCAAATGAAGAGCCTCGGAGGTAAAGTGAGCAACACGTAATCCTTCGAGAAGGGTAATCACGGTTTTGATCTAGCCTGAAGTCAAAGGCTTGCAAATATCTCATTATTACCGCTGTAGTGAGGTTTTATAGTTTTAGTCATGTTCATCACATTGTGTCACAACTTTTAACAATCTGGAAAAAAAAATATAACAGATGAGATTAAATGAACACCCTTTGACGGAATTACGCCCTGCGAGGTCAGTCCAGACAAAAAGAAATGCTTCCGAAAGTTGGAAAGGTTGCAGCGCTCTTGTATTTCGGAATCCAAAAATGCCACAGTGTTTTAATTTGTGGTAGGCGGTCCACACTTTCATAAAGGAAAGCTTCTGCTAACTTAACAATAACACAATGATTTCAATGTGAGCTTCACTACTTATAGTCCTATAACCTTGCATGCAGAATAACTACCCAACATTTAAATTCTTTAAGGCTTAGATAATTATAACCTGATTGATAACCATGGCATTAGTGGCGCCAGTACACTGAAGAGGGCAGAACTCAAGTGTCTCTTCCAGCTCGTCTTCATATTCCTGGAAATTCCCTGTAATTTATTCCGATTTTTGGGAAGCTATAGTGGCAAGAAAACCAAAACGACATACTGAGGTGCCAATAGCACATCCGATTTTAACCAGTCCTACCTTAATTTGGAGGGGTTTTTCTCAAACTCAATTGAACTCTTACTATCAAAAGAATGCTAAAATATTGGCCCCCTTTCCGGGGACTAGCGTATTACACACTGCACCACTGAGGCCATTGCTTTGTGCTCTCTCAGCTAGGAAAGTAAAGCAACAACCTTAGCGGCGCGGTGTGCAATACATGAGCATCGGCAAAGTATAATCGTGGTTCGATCTGACCCGTGGTGCAAGTTTTGCGAGTATCTCAGCGTCGTTGTGGCTGTATTTTATGATATCCTATTAGAAGGCAGCAAATAAAAGGTTAACACTGTGATTTCGACTAAACTCTCAGCTTAACTGGGTTCAATGCCGTTTTGCGCCTCCCAGATCAATCTCGCTGACAGATCACTGCAGATGGCAGCCTTATGTAGAAAACTAGCTTAGAGAAACGCAAAGCAAGTGCCTCAGTGGTGCAGTGTGTAGTAGGCGAGCCCTGAAAAGCGTACTGGTGGTTCGATCTGGCTCTGGCTCCAAGTTTTGCGAATATCTCAGCATCGTTGTGATTGTATTCCACCTCATGCCATGCCGTGAAAAATTTTAGTATGCAGCAAATAAAAAGCTTATACTGAACTACTTTTTCGCAGTGTTACACCCAAGCTTAGAGCACCTCATTTTCTTGAAGCGAGTTAAGTAAAGTTCACTTCTTGAATGTTGTGTTATTTTGCATTAGTATTTTCATGGGTACCTTGACTGCTGAAGCTTTAACGCTATCGTGGAAGAATTTTGTTCCATAAGGGAAATACTCAAACACATTTTAGCACTTGCTGGATACTCGTAAGCATATTTTGCTGCTTATGAACTTTCTTAAAAAACCCTTTTTGGTCTTCAGTTCCTACTTCATCGAAAAACATTTCTAGTGCTTCTTTGGATGCCACGGCTGCTGCTCAATAACACTACGCTTGTCTCAAGTTATACTTTGTCCCAAAATAAGCCAGCGGATAAGCTCTTATTTTGATAAGGCATACAGTAGTTGATACTCGGTACGAAACTTTCAATTTTGAGAATTCTACAACTCTATGCACATTTTGCTAGTATGCAGCTTCAGCCATAAAATCAATGACCTTTAAATCGTTGACGTTTCGTCAAAATATCTCTGCAAACCTGGATTTATTAATACGGCATGCAGTATTTTGACCGTTCCTTGATTCTCTAGTATCCTTAAAGAAGAGATTACCGAGAAGTTGAATTTTTTTTAGCGATAGGTATGACGAGTGACGATGAGGTAAGGCAAAACTTCCACTTCCAGCTCATTTAATTTCAGTGCCGCCATCTGTGCAAGGGGGTGCGCTACGCAATGTTATAGGTGTTCTTCAATACACACTGAGTCAGTCGCAGGTCCAATCCCAAATCTTAGGTTGATGAAGTCTTCCGTTCCTACGTCTGAAAGCATAACAGCGTAAAACTTTCCGTATCTCTATTGTCTGGAGGGATAGCAGCACTGACAAACATCGGCGGAACACTATATTTCACTGCATTGGCAACATATGCATTGTTTAAGCTGTAATGGTGCTTAATGAAGTCGAATGCATGGCGTATCTCTCACAGATTGATCAACTCGGAGCGCACTTTATCGTGAACTTTATGCTCGGTCTCGCATTGTGTGGTGGTGAACGCGTTACCCCCGGAAAGTGTAATACAGGGTTCGTTCGGTCCCATCCGCAGACACCAGCGGTCCGGAGCCTTGCGAATATCTCAGGATTAGTATGGTTATATTTCACACGATACCCTACCGTTGAATTGAAGACATCGGAACCTTGTTGATGTTTAAGAAATTATAGCGTATACTTCTATCCGTAGGTAATGAACCATTGTTTTTTTTTGAGGATGCGTTAACTTCACTGAATGTTTCTATGCATCACCTTCGTTGATTCATTACGAATGCGTCGTCCAGAGTCGTACAAAGTAAGCGGTCAGTCACATTTCGGGTAAATCGATATAGGAATGGCTTCATTTTATCGCATAAAAAACACTGGAACAAACTTTTCACAGTGTCGGTCGCTTTGACTTCCGTTCCACTTAGTGGTGCCCGCACTCTCGAATTGATTTTTTACGACTTTCTAACTGAATAGAGCACTCCCTCGGTTGTTGCTGGTTTTTTTCAGAGACTGAAAACTATTCTTTCACCTACAACTACAACGTCAGCTTATCTTCATCCGTTGAGCACGTACTTGCTTCATTTAGCTTTTTTGCTGGGTTATCATCAGTAACAGTCCGTGCTCCCAAATCCTGACCGTGGACAAGATGATCTCCTACGGCAAGGAACTGCTGGAACTTTTTACCGCGCACTCTGTGTCGTAGTGCAGTGTTGGAATGTCACACAATTTTTCTGGGTTTGCGCTCAAATGTAAATCTACACGGAAAAAATGGCCCAACCTGCAAGCTGTCCTACTCTTATTCAAATGTAATAAAATACGCATTCAAATGAAAATTCCCACAAAAAACGAAATCCATGAGTGCTGAGGCGAAGATGAATAGCAAACTTTATATTAGCTCCTATGACTGAAATTTTCTTATTGCGAACTCTAACATTTGGTACTGATCACCTTGAATCGCCAACAATACTTTATACTGTTATGAAATTGGCTTTTTGATAAGATGACGGAACTATATATAGACATAAATAAACACGTAACTAAGAAATTAACATTGAGATATAGACTAGAACCTCAGCTTAACTGGGTTCATTGCTGATTTGGGCTTCCAAGATCAATCCCATTGACGGGTGATGGTCGATGGCACTGATCGATAGAACTAGCTGAGAGACAAACGAAACTAAGCACTCGCATGATGTGGTGGTGAACGTGCTAGCCCCGGAAAGAGCGATACCGCGTTCGTTCCCTACCGTGGACACCTACGGTCAGGGAGTTTTGCAGATATCTCAGCACCACTGCGAAACATAAACAATCGTTGACCTAAGCAACAGATTTCTTCTATGAGTCTCCTCTACCGAGCGACAAAAGCCCTTGCCATCGTCACTCAATTAAGGTGGCTATATAAGGTGCAAAAGAAGGCATTAATTCTGCCATATAGTATTATAAAAATCAGGGGCAACAGTTAAGAACATGCTGGCGAAATCAAGAGCCCTCTTTTCTTGCTGTGATCCAAAAACATTTTGAAACTGGTAAACCCTTTGTTCTCTGATCTTCTAAGGAGTATGAAAGGATTTGATCATTTTTGTGGTTTCGCCGTTGTTTTCATTTTCCGTTCCACTACATATGATTGTGTTTTTTTCAGTGAGGAGCTCTTCCTAGTAGAGGGAGTAGAAAAAGAGTGCAGAAGAACTTCTGTCTTACTTCGTCAGATACAGTTTCCCACCCCACCGAGTGTTTCCATATTTTACAAAGACATACTTATTCTGATTATATCAGAATTTTCAATGTTACTATTCTTTCTTAAAAGTGTGTCACGTGTCTTAAACGGAAGTTAAATTTTAATTTTTGTCTTCTGTGTTCAAAAACAATGAGACATCGAAGATAGTGTCTCTTTCAAACACTTAGGAAAATATCTTTCTATTCTTACAAAATTAAATCATTTTCGATGTTTTTAACTTGCCTTCGGTCAAGTAACTTAAAAAATTATCCTACTGCTGAACAGCGAAAAAGGTGATGACGACCTACCACGGAGCCCGGGTCACCAGTAAAAAACCGTTGAACCCACTTTCCATCCTTTCTAGGTCAAAACTGGGTATGCCTGACGGAGCTCTACTTTAAAAACTTCTTTTGAACTTTTCTTCCCGTCTTGTCATACCTGATAACAGCCGTTATCGTTGATTGAGATCCATTCGTCACGACTTCCTTCAAATTCTAGTCGACAATCATTCGAACGGCAAATATAACTGCGGAGTTCTGCAAAATGCCGTATTCCTAATGCTGAACTCGACCAATTATTTAGCCTCTCCATAGAGACATTCGACAAGAATGTAATTCTTACTTTAAGTTTTATTGGGAAATAAAACTTCCAATTTGACTTGTAGCAGAAAGTTAGATGTGTAACGCATACACACATGGCCTTTGGTTCGACCTGGCACTATTTACCCTAAGGAAGGTCACAGTTCCCTCGTGGTTTATAAGCGGTACCAGACTTCTTTGAGGGAATAGCAACACTGACTTGATACATTGGTGGGGCACCAATTGTGATTCCATAAGATAGGCATTCACCTTTAACGATACCCGATTATGTCTAATAATGGGGCATCCCGTAGACGTTGATCAATGCCGAAAGCTCCAACGTGAATCCTTCAAACCCTCCAAGGAATGAAACTTGCATAAACTATCCTTTAATACGTATATTTTTGTAGAAGTCAATCTTTCAAAGAATTCTAATACAATAAACGATCAAAACTTTATCAAATTATGGTTGGGGAAATGATACCGGTTTCAAAACCTCCTCAAGTCGAGTATCTGTTCTACATCGAATAAACATGAGAGTACTTGAAGGAAAGGAGAGATTTTTTTTTGTGCAGAAGTATATTTTCGGCTATTAACGAGTGCGCAGACTGTAGGTGTCAATTTGGTTACTACGGTGAAACTTAAGCTCAATCAATCATCTGGAAGCAACGCAACCACTATTGCAGTATCTTTTTGTTAGAAATAAACACCGTTAAAGGGTAAAGGTTCAATTCGTGGTAGTTTTAACGAACCAAGTAAGCCTTCAACTAACAGTGGGACGCAAAATCACGATTATTCAAAACTTCGAGACAAATTTTAGGCATTTATTCTCTACAGGAGGCTTAAGGTTGGATGGATAATGGGTGAGCCATACCAAATTTATCCAGGAGCTTTAATATTTGTTATGGATTGTTTTCCGATAATTTTTGAAGCATTCGATAGGCTTTAGCTCATTATCACCAGCATTTTACCAGCCTTAACGTTCTT